GTTTTTGATCAAATTTGTAATTCTGTTAGGGAAAAATGTGAATAATTTTGTATTGACAAAACTTTCACCGCTTAACTTTTTGTATGTTATAGAGATCATGATTATGAGCATTTTGAGTATTTATTTGAAATTTTTTACTGTGTGATTTTGAAAATATAATAATTTTTATCTACCTAAAAATTTATTTTAACATCTAAAAATAATAGTGTAGTATAATAAAAATTTTAAAATATTTTTTTTTAAATAATTCATGATATTTTGATAATTTTCTAAAAATGTGTATTTTTACCTAATAGGATTCTTTGTTGTCTATTGTTATGACATTTTAAGTATTTTTTAAATTAAGCTAAATTATGCATTATTTATTATAATGCATTGAAAATGAATATGAAAATATGATTGAGATTATTATTATAGTATTGTGATAATAATATATGTGTAAAAGACAAGTAAAGACTAGATAACCCATTTGTTGGTGACTGATTAAGTTGCATATAACCATAGGCCGATGAAATTTTCTTTAAATATTATAGTTTGGTGTTATCCTCTACTAATTCACGTTATACACTGATTGTGGGTTATAAAGAGATCATTATTATGTCGATGAACAAAGAGTGATGACTCTATTTACTGAGCTAATAGTTTACTAATACTTATATTAACACTAAACAATACCATGATAGCCATCATTTCTTACTTGTTTAGTGTGACAATTGAATGTATATTTTTGAGACATTATTTTTATTATTGTATAGATTTATTATTTCTGCACAAATTTACTGTTATTACATTATTCTAATGCTCATGCCACTAAATTATTAATGTTACTGATATATATATTAATACTATTTGATACTACTTATTCATTATACTGATATTATTCATGTGATATACTAAGATGTGATATAAAAATCATGGATATCATGTGTACATTCATATATTATTTTATTACATTGATTTGATTTCGATAATCTTTATCGATATTTTGATTTGATGTTTTATATGATTTTTATACTGATTGATATTACAAATATGTTGATTGCTTTATAAATTTGACATTAGTACTAGTTTATTGCTTTATTAGCTTCCATAATGTAATGTTTCACTGCTTCTAGATTCTTCTACTATTTCATGTGAATTTTACTATTTTTGCACTAATTTAATGATCATATGAATGTGATTATTATAATTTAACTATTGACATGTATATTATTCCTTTATCTTACTTTAAATTTAGTTATAGGTTTTGGTGGCCTGTTGAGCTTTTTAAGCTTATTATATATGATTAAATAATTTTAGGTCAAGATAGGTGGATAGAGGTGTGAGGTTAGTCAGGATTCTTCAGGTTTTATTTCTTTTAATTATTTTTTTGTACTCAGAATATAGCAGTTATGATATGATTGTGTATATCCTGAATATTGTATATGATTTTTGAGATTAAATATAGATATATACATTGATATTTTAAATTATAGAATCTATTTTATTGTTTATTATTAATATATGATATTAGCTCTGATTGTTATTTTTTTAAAAGAAAAATAAATAATTCTTTTAATTTAGACTCAAAGACACCATAATTAATATCAGAGCATAGTTATTAGAAAAATTAAATTATAACTAGAGCTGCAGGACTTGATTGAGTTGGGTAGATATGATAGATTAAGATACATTAGTTTGCATACATAATTAAATGACATGTGATAGAATGAATTGCATGACTGTATGATTTTTTAAATGTTTTGATTTGATTTGAGTTTGGAGTGTATATAGTTTCTTTAATTTAATTTTATACTTGAATCCTTAAGGGAAATGTTGGGGACGACATTTTCTTAAGATAGGTAAATTGTAATAACCCGTATTTTGACTTTGCTAATTTGTTTAAAGGAAAAATAAATAATTATTTCAATTTAGATTTTAAGACATCAAAATTGATATCAGAGCATAGTTGTTGGAAGAAATAAATTATAACTAGAGATGTAGGACTTGATTGAGAGTTGGGTAGATATGGTAGATTAAGATGCATTAGTTTGCATGCATAATTAAATGACATGTGATAGAATGAATTGCATGACTGTACAATTTTTTATGAGTTTTCATTTGATTTGAATTTGGATCGTACGAATTTGCTTTAATTTAAGTTTATGCTCGAATCCTTAAGGGAAATGTTGGGGATGATATTTTCTTAAGATATGTAAATTGTAATAACATGTAGTTTGACTTTGTTAATTTTTTTGAAGTCATTATAACTCCAAATTACAAACTATTTTTGTCATAGTATTTTGATTGTGGTATTTTACATACATGAATTTTTTCATAAAATTTGGGCACTAGTGAAAATTCTTAAAAATTTAGTATATATCGATATAAATGAGGATTTCGAGACTGTCATATATCTATTTTGCAAATCAATGTCATCAATATTTTTTAAATAAAATGATTTATTTTATGAATATTTTTTGTAATTTTTTAATTTTTAAAAAAATAATTATTTGAATTTTATACTAAAGATTTAATTAAATTTAATATCATATTAATATTTTATTATTATTTATTATAAAATATCATAAAACACTATTTTTATCATATTGCCTAAGCATTCAACTATCATAGTGAAGAAAAGGAATGTGAGAGAGAAATGAGAGAAATGTTAGGAGAGAGAAAAAAGAAATCAAGATTTAGATGTTGCAGAGTGATTTCTGTTAGTCGGGTTAGTTGGCAAATTTACTCGTCTCATTATAAAGAACCTTTACCCTAGTTTTGATTTTAAAGATTTTTTGTTTTTTGTATTTTTCTGATCAAATTTATATTTCTGTTACAAAAATATGTATAATTTTGTATTGACAAAACTTTCAACGCTTAAATTTTTTAGTATTTATTTGAGATTTTTTACTGAATTATTTTAAAAATACAATAATTTTTGTCTACCTAGAAATTTATTTTAATATTTAAAAATAATATGAGTTGTACAATAATAGTCTTAAAAAATTGTTTTAAATAATTTCTAGTATTTTGGTAATTTTCTTAAAATGTGCATTTTGTATAATATGATTCTTTGTTGTCAACTTTTTGACATTTTGAGTATTTTCTAAATTAAACTCAATTATTTATTATTTACTACAATGCATTAAAAATGAATGTGGATATATGATTGAGATTATTGTTATAGTACTGTGATAATAATATATATGTAAAAGAGAAGTAAATACTAGTTGATATATTAGTTGGAAACTGATTGACATAGACAAGATGGTGGACCAACAAATTTTTTTTTAAATATTGTGGTTTAGTGTTATCCTCTACTAATTCTCGTGATACACTAATTAGGAGTTCTAAGAATACCATTACTGTGCCAATGGATAAAGAGTGACAATTATATTTATTTAGCTAACAATTTACTAATACTGATATTAACACAGAAAAATACTATGAAAGTCAAGACTTTTTACTTGTTTAGCGTGACTTCTGAAATGCATATTTTTTAGGCATTGTTCTTATTATTATACAGAGTTATTGTTACTACACAGATTTATTATTATATTATTATTCTACTACTCCTACTACTTTATTTTTACTGTTACTGATATAGATACTGATATTATTTGATATTAGTAATTTACTGTACTTGTATTAACCATGCGATATACTGATCACATGATATAGAATATTTGGATAACATGTGTACATTCCTATATGATTTTATTACATTGATTTGATTTCATTAATATTTATCGATATTTTGATTTGATGCTTTATATCATTTTTATACTGATTAGTATTACAGATACGTCGATTGATTTATAGATTTGACACTCGTACTGGTTTACCGCTTTACTAGCTTTCATAATGTAATATTTTACTGCTTCTAGATTCTTCTACTATTTCATATAAATTTTACTATTTCTATATTGATTCAATGATCATATGAATGTAACTACTATGATTTGACTATTTTCAAGCATATTACTTTTTTTACCTTGCTTTGAATTTAGTTGTAGGTTTTGGTGACCTATTGAACCTTGTAAGCTCATTATATGTGGTTAAACAATTTCAGGTTAGGGAAAGCGAACAGCGGTGTGAGGCTGGTGAAGATTCTTCAAGTTATATTTTTTTTAGTTATTATTTTGTACTTAGAACATATTAGTTGTGATATGATTGTGTAGATCTTGAGTATTATATATCATTTTTGAGATTGGATATATATACATACACATTAATATTTTAAATTATAGAATATGTTTTGTTATTTATTACTAATAGATGATATTAGATATTTCTGATTGTTATTTATTTAAAAAATAAATGAATAATTTTTCTAATTTAGATTCCGAAAAATCACAATAATTTCTCCTAGTCATGAGAACCAAATTTTAATGATAAATTTGCTATGATGATAACGAGTTTACATCAATCATAAATGCATTATTACTTAGCCATTTAATTATGATAGATTTGAAACACTAACATATCATTGATAAATTTAAATAAAAAAAAGATTTTGTTTAAAAAATTAAAAATAATTAAGAAATACTTTAAAATTTTAAATTTATTTTGGAATTAATATAATATATGAATAATTTATATTATATTTATCTCAAAATAAATTTAGAAAAAATTAAAGCCATCAATCTTATATTCTAATATAGTTTTTTTTTTATGACGAGGAACTGTACGCTGCCACGCCCGGGCTTTGCCGAGCACGCTTGGTGGTCCATAAACTCTGACCGACCTACCGGGCCACCCACGCCTGCAGTACCCGCAGCCGGTGCTTAGGAGCCCCACTTAAGGGCGACAGCCGCTCGAGGGAATCGAACTCGGGATGGGGGTTCCCAACCGAGCACGGCCATCAACCAAGCTAAGCCGCAGTGGGTAATATAGTATTTTCCCTCTAAATCTAATTTACCTTGAAAATTGGTCCCATTGATTATGAGGTTTTGACGGTTACTGTCTTTTTCTTCTTTCCATTCTCCTTTTTTTGGGTCCATCAGCTATCTTAAAGGCGCAACCCTATGTCTCCTTTCCACCTTCAACCTCTCTCCTATGGCCTCCGCCAAAGCACAGAGAGAGAAACAGAGAGAATAACTAGGAGTAATCGGAAAGGATAGAGAAACTTTTTTGCCTTTGTTTCCTTTTCTGAATGTGAGAAAGATTCTTGTTCGTGCTTGTTTATTTCAGAGTAAGACAGAACCAGAGAGAGATTCTCGTCTTTCTTCTTCTTCTTCTTCTTCTTCTTTTCAGTTATTTTTTCATGGCAAAAGGGAGCAACACGTTCAGGTTATCTGACCTGATGCCATATTCGTGGTTCTATAAGCTTAAGAACATGCGAAGCAGAGGAAACAGAGTACAGAAAGCTAATAATTCCAAAGACAAAAGCCAAATCTCAAGAACAGAACCTCCCAAATCTCCTAAAATTCAAGATTTTTCCACAAATAGATTCTCTCACTACATTACAAGCGAAGAAAGAGCAGCAGAGCCGCTTTCCCGTTCTCCTACTCACCCAAAAAAATCAAAGAAAAAACCAAAGAAGAAGCTGTTGAGCTCCCCTGTTTTAAACTCACAGCCATCCCATGAAACTCCCCTACACAGCCTCGATGACCGCTTCGATGCCAAATTCTTCACCTCTTCATCAGATATTTTCGTTACAGAGCCCAATCATCCTCTTCCTCCTCCTATATTGACGAAGCGCCGCCTGATCAATGGAAGAAAACAGAGTCCGAAACAGGGGAGCAGGTCTCCCTCTGCAACTCAACAGATAAAGCTGAGGATAAAGTCACCAAAGCTTGTGCAGAAGAGACTGGTGAAGAGGAAGGGATTGACAGACAGTTTCGTAGTGGTGAAATATTCTTCGGATCCGAAGGGAGATTTCAGAGAATCAATGGTGGACATGATTGTTGAGAACAATCTATTTTCATTGAAGGAGTTGGAGGAATTGCTTTCTTGCTATCTGTTACTGAATTCAAGTGAGTATCATGATCTGATTGTTGAGGTTTTTGAGAAAATCTGGTCTGATATCACGGAGATTATCGTGTAATTTAAGTGCAAGGATTGTTGATGTAGTGTTCTATGCAAGGTAGTAACTTGAATTATTTTTATATTTTTATATGATCCTTCTTTCTTAATAAAATTATCAAGCTTTGATCTTTTTCAATGACAAAGATGACGCTGAGCTGCTCGACAAATAATAGTTCAAAGGGCGCTCATATCTCTGTCCTCTTGCATGGTGTTGATCAAAGATTGAACCCAGCTTCAGAAGCGTATAGTCCTCTCTCTCTCTTCAGTCTCTCTCTCTCTCTCTTCAGTCTCTCTCTCTCTCTCTCTCTCTCTCTCTCCAGAAACATATATAATTCTATTTCGGTTTTTTGCCCTTTTGGATTAGTTGTAGTCTAGATGTTGTGGTGTCATTTTGTATGTATTCTATCTAGCTTTTGTGTGTTTTTGGGGAGAGATTATTCTACGTGGACGCCGAATGCAGTTTTACAATCGGATATCAATTAGAATGAGTCACGTTAGTCATACCGAGCTGTGGTACATACACTCGGTACCATGGTATGGAGCGGTACCGAGCCGCGGGCTTAGGTTTAAGAACGGGTTCTGCTTCCACACAGAATAATTTTTCATTTTTGGGTGATTTCATGTCGCAGCTTATATTGATTTAAGGTCGTCTCTTTAGGGTTATTGTAATTTTTTATAAAGTTATATTGACTTGGTAATAGCTTAATAAAAAGCTCATTCAATAATAATTTAGGCTTCATTTGATAAGCTTTTTTATTGTTTCTTAAAATAGCTTTTAAGTATAAAAAAATTAATTTTTATACTAAAAAACTATTTTAAGAAGCAGTAAGAAAGCCGTCTCAAACGAAACATAAGTCGTATAATAACATGTTATATGTTTCATATAATTATTTCTCTTTTTTGAGCTTAAGAACACTATGAAAGTTTAAACCTGATTATGTTATGTTAAACAAATAGTTAGATGATATGATTTAAGTGTAATTAAGCTGCTATTAGTTATTTAAAATTTTAAATAACAAAATAAGGTTTAATAACTTAAATCAATTTGATGAGATTTGAATTTTTGGCATTTTAAATTTATTTAATTTGATTTAATTAAAAATTGATGATGAATAGAATTTAATTTATTTTTTTTTTTTAAGTTATTTTAAAACCCAAGTCATATTTTATGAAAATAAATAAATAAATTTTATTTTTTGAAGTTCCACTCAACAACTCGGCGTATAAAAGTATAGCTAGTATTGTAGACTCGAAGCTCAATAAACCAAGGCTTTTAAAATCGGACCGGTCAATGAACCAGAAGGAGGGGTTAGTAGTTTGATGGTTCAACCGGGGTCGAACCGGATGACGTAATAAATATTTATTATATTTAAATATTATAATAATGACACAACTATTTATAAATATATAGCAAAAATTGAAGAAAATTATAATACTTTTACTTATCTAATAAAGAAATGTTAGTCAAATAAATTCAAACATTTAAATCTTAAGGATATAAACTATATTACCATAGATAATACTAAGCCCAATAGTTTCTAAAAGCATAATCACATCTATTTTCGCTCCAAAAACATAACAGATCTGTAATATCAAATGAGTTTCATATATGAATCAAATATAATAGCATTTGAAAAAAATTAAGCATGTAACAGCAAAAAACCTGAATTAACTTAAGTGGCAGTCTACTTAAGTGGAAGGCTTCATTCATCAATCTCTCCCCAAACAAATGTAGTTGAAGAGATCCTTGTGTCTACCATACTAACAGTTTCTTCAACTGTTGAATTCTACATATGTCTAAGCAGATTATTTACAGAAATTCTATCATATTTTATTCAAACTTTCAATCTGCTGAATCCAAACTAAGAGCCTCCAACAACAACTTTCAGGCCTCTCAAACGGGTCTCTCCAAAACATACCGCCAATCTCCCCAAAACATACGGCCAATCTCCATTCTAAGCAAAAAAAAAAAAAAAAATCTTTAACGGTGCAAAGCCTCCAACAACCATTTGCAAAAAAATTTCTCCCTTCTAATCTCCATTCAAACTTTCAGTAAATCAAAACAATAAACAGAGAAAAACACAATAATGCAACCATTCAATGTCAAAAAACTCGATAATGCATACTCACCGTGAATGGATTCACGTCCAGCGACGCCCAATGCGATAGAGAGAAGAAAATGAGAGCGAAGCCGCGAGCAAGTAGGAGATTTTGCTTTTTGAAATAGAAGAAGTCGTCGGAGGCGGACAAGATGAGGCTACCGAGGAGAATGCCCAGCGCCCCAGCCGCGCGATACGAATACGTCAAATAGGGTTGCTTTCATTTTCGCCTAGCGTTCCTATACCTCAAATCCGGTCATCTCAGTCGTTAGTTCGCCTTTTTAGCGAACTGTCCGGTTAAGGAAAACTGGAACTGGTTCGACGGTTCGGCGGTCGGACCGCCGGTTCGAGCGGTTCGGAGCCGGTTCTCTGCGAAACCGGTTGTATCTCGAACCGTAACCAGCTAGCCGGCCGGTTCCCAGTTGAATCGGCCGGTCCGGTCCGATTTTAAAAGCCTTGCAATAAATTAAAGGAAGGTTTACCTAACTATCATAGAATTATTATGTATTTATATATATAATATGCAATTTTTTATATTTATTGATATAATATTCTAATCTAAAAAATCTAAAATACTATTAATATTAATTTATCTAAAGAGAAATATATCTATTCTTGCATATATATTATGAGATTTAGATGATATGATTTTACAACAACAGTAACAACAACATCAGCATGAATCTTTTTTATCTATTGTGTTATGTTAAAAGTTAAATCTAATACATATACTTTCCTAACCGGGTCATCGGAAGGCCGCTATTTTATGTGACCAAACCATCCACGACGACTCTCTCTAATATCATCTTCCACTGGAGCTACTCCAACCTTTTAACGTATATGCTCATTTCATATCCAGTCTCTAAGATTGAAGTCATTCATCCACCTAAGCATCATCATCTATGCAACACTTAAATTAATATTATGCTCCTCTTTTAATGGCCAACATTCTGCACCATACAACATTACAGGTCTAACCACCATCTTATAGAACTTTTTCTTAAGTTTGAGGGGGACTTTTCTATCACACAACAAACTCAATCCATTCCTCCACTTCAACCATCCAACTTGAATTCTACTAATAATATCCTGATTTATTTCACAATTTCTCTTTACAACAAACCCAAGATATCTAAAACGAGTACTCTTATTAGTGACTTGATCACCCAAAGTCACAATCCCCTATAAGATCTATTATTACTAAAATTACACTCCATATATTTAGTTTCAGATCTACTCAAACAAAATTCTTTAGACTCTAACATTTTGAATATTATCTTTATAAATACATAATATATAATTATGTGATATGTACGAAAATCACACCAAATTGAAATAAAGTTTTAGTTAAAAAGAGAATGGGAAGATTTCCATTAATAAAAGAACACATAAATTCAGAATATTTAACCTGAATTTCAGATCACAAAAGAACTAATTGTAATTTTGAATTGACTTGAAAGCAAAGATTAGTATAGTTGAGAAAGAAATTAAAACACATTCTAAAAGCATTGTAATGACTCAAAAGGACAGAATTTGGCATATGTTTATAGTTAGCATACAAAAGATACAAATCTAGAAATCCTATTTGAGATTTAGGTTTCATTTTGGATGACTTTTTTATTGCTTCTTAAAGCAGCTTTCTAGTACATATTAAAATTTTTGCACTAGAAAACTGGTTTAAGAAACAATAAAAAATCCATTCCAAACAACGCCTTAATCTTAGCTAAGCCAAGAGATTAAGAGTCACCTATAGAAACTTGAATAAATATTGTTCAATCATGTCATCAACAACGAATGAAAAATCCAAAACATGAACTAGTTTGATAAAAATAGACGGGAAATGACATAAGTAGAATTGAGAACTAGTATTATATAATCTCACAAAGTTGCACACAAGTTGAGAGAAAGTATTAGGAGGTAGACTTCTCTCAATAAGAGAATCATTAGCATAGGCAATACTTTCAAAAATATCTAAGAAGATCACATATAGTTTTTTTTTCCTATTAAGTCCCCACAAAGTTCATTTGTGCCCTCTTAGCTCTTCATTATTTATTGTAAAGAATGTTACATTTCTTTTATGAGAATAGGATTTAGATTGAGGGATAAGCCCAATTTTTATTTGTATAATAGAAATCAGAGACATAATGTTGAGGATTATGAATCTTTAAGTCATGCTTGAGAATCTAATCAACTAAGTTCTTCTTAAGGAAAACTCAATATTAGGAATAAAAAAAGTCACACTTAAGGCAACAATAAATTATTAAAGCGCCGACCAAAGATGCACAAGTTTTAGGATCATTAAGGCAATCATTAGGGATCTTAAGGCTACCAAACTGTGCAACTTGATAAGGCTAATAGAGTTTAAGGATGTATATTATTATTCTTCTTTTATCATTTTTATTTCTTTTTCTGATAGTGATCATCCTCTCATTTGAAACATCCATGATGATGTTATGATCCTTTTTACGCAATATTTAACCATTTTCAGCTTTTGAGAATTTTTATTTGCATAGGGAGTTCCATAAACATTCTTTTGTTTAAAATAGTTGAGAAGATGAGATTCTATCCTTGCAACTTTTTAAGAATCAAAATACTCTCTAGAGATAGATGTTCATCTAAAAGTTTCACAATCATTGAACTTATTTAGGGCAACCATGACATCTAGGAGGACAAGTATTTTGATTTCCTTATTATATGTACCCCTCATAATATATTTATATCTTTGATCGACCAATAATATACTTGTTTTGTGATTTATATACTACTCGGCACCCCATTATGTAGTTTCTTTCCAATGAAAGCAAATTCATAGCTTATGCCAATCATTTTAAATCTAAAAATATGATATCTAACTGATAATAAGGAGAATAATTCATCCATCATTAGTGTGCCAATAACCAAGAGTTATGAATTCTATAAGGAAGCCAAAATAATTACCTATAGAAAATGATGGTGTATGAAAATATCATTACCCATTATACATAAATGTTATAATATTCTTATATTTTAGTATAGCCCTACACTGTTAATAAAGTAC